TGTGATCTCAGTGGTATTCCCCAACTATAGGAGTTTAGGGTTTAGGGGTTTAGGGTTTAGGGTTTCGGGTTTAGGGGTTTAGGGTTTAGGGTCTAGAAAGCAGATGCCCTTAAAGGGCTCCTATAAAATACCCCTTAGTCGTGTATAGGGTCCCAAATTAGGGGGTCGACTTTCTAGCCGATTCTAGCACCAAACTAGATCATTAAACCCCCTGTAGGGTTTAGGGTTTAAGGTTTAGGGTTTAGGGTTTGTATAGATGCCTTCAAGGGAAGCCTCATGCGGCTTACCCTGAGCTCTAAAGGCCGTATACCCCAACCCCGATTGTAAAGGAACCCTGAGCCCTATACTAGACCCACTAGTGTGTGACCCTTTGCTGCTAAAAGATCTTTACAGGAACCTTCATTAAGGGATCGACTTTCCAGACCCTTTCGGGGATCTGGGTAGGCCCGACACCCAAGACCCTAAACCCTTCAAGGAATCCTTAAAGGAGCCCTTAAATAGGGAGCCCTCAAGGGAACCCTTAAAGGAAACCCAAGAAGGAGCCCTTCAAGGAACCCTTACAGGAGCCCTTAAAGGAACCCTTAACAGAACCCTTAAGGGAGCCCTTAAAGGAGCCCTTACAGGAACCCTTAAAGGAGAAAGCCTTATACCGCCTGAGGAGAAGGGTCTGCTCGTGGAGTTCGAAGAACCCCTTGGCAAGGCTACTGAGCTTTCCCGGCCGGGGGAGTCTTAAAGGACGGTTTAGGGTTTAGGGGTTTGGGGGTTTAGGGTTTCAGGCTTTAGGGGTTGAGGGTTTAGGGGTTTGAGGGTTTAGGGTTTTTGGGTTTAGGGGTTTAGGGGTTTGAGGGTTTAGGGTTTTGGGGGTTTATATAGGGTGTAGGGTTTAGGGATTTTGGGTTTGGGGTTTTGAGTTGGGGGAAATGTAGGGCCCCTGAAACGAAGGGATGGTGGTTTAGGGCTTAGAGATAGAAGCCTGAACAAACACATGAGTAAGCATGTTAATCACTACAAATACAAATTTGCATATATATATATATATTCACACATACACATATACCGACAACATATTCAGACTAGATGATGCCCAACCAACCTATGCTAATCATTCAGGCTTTTGCATCTTCTTCGGCCGTGCATACTACAGTCAATGGAACTCATGCGGGGAAAGGGGGCTAGTGCACTTCAAAAAATACCCTAAGCCCTAAACCCTAAGGTAGACCTTTAACCCAAACCCTAAACCCGACGGTAGACCCTAAACCCTAAACCCTAAGATAAACCCTTAAGCCTAAACCCAAATAAGGTAGACCCTAAACCTTAAACCCCAAGATAAACTCAAAAGCCTAAACCCTAAGATAGACCCTAAACCCTAAACCCCAATAAGGTAGACCCTAAACCCTAAACCCTTAGATAAACTCTAAAGCCTAAGCCCTAACATAGACCCTCAACCCTGAACCCTAAGATAAACTCTAAAGCCTAAACCCTAAAATAGACCCTAAACCCTAAACCCTAGGGTAGCCCTAAACCCTAAACCCTAAGATAAACCCTAAAGCCTAAACTCTAAGCCCTAAATCCTAAACCCTAAACCCTATATCCTAAAGCCTAAACCCTAAATCCTAAAGCCTAAAACCCTAAACCCTAAAGCCCTAAACCCTAAACCCTAAAGCCTAAACCCTAAGGTAGACTTTGAACGCCAAGCAAGGCTGTCTTTGTCTCGCACCAGTGGGTCGGCAACCAACATCCAGACCCAGAGTTCAAGCAGATGCGAGCAGCTTGACCTCGCTGCAGCAGTTTAGGTTTTTAGGGTTTTAGGGT